TCTTACTTGTTTTCAGATAATCTCATCACTTTTGCAGGTGATTTTAAATGATCTCGGCTGATCTGAATTAATAAAGAAACTATCTTGATGGACTAAAGTAACTATGTATTGGCATCAAGTGAGGTTTGGGGGCAGGGTAAGGTAAAATTTATGTCTCAAAACCCCAAATGTATTCGAAGCTTTATTAACAGTATATGTCAAGTGATTATGATTGTCTAGAGAATGTTGATGCATTACTTTACATCACAATCTTACATAGGAGAACTATCCATTTGTGACTTTTTTCTACTTCTGTATCCTAAGTAAATCCTGACTCAATCATAAAGCCATCTGCATTTATTAAGATTAACAGGAATCATCTGAGGTTCCTTAGCCCTCAAATGTTACATTGTCTTTTGTATTGAACAATACATTCTTTATAGTGCAAAGAAAATCGCAGCTTTAGTTTTCTAGTTGAATCTACTCCTAATCAGAGAGGGAAAAAAGCTTGATCTCACAACCTATTTATGTAGTTTTTAAACTTTCTAAGAAAAATAAAACTGCTATCATTAATACCTATTGGTATAAACAACCCTACCCTGGTGGTTGCCTAGTAACTATATATACTGCAGGCTTGTGGGGCTGCTAAAGAAGCTGAATAAACAGAAATATTCAGATCCATTTTCAGTGTAGGTGGATGAGGAGCAGCAGTGGGGCAGATTCTTTTGTTAAAATTGTTTTTTTCCATAATGGTTTTGCATTACAATATCCTTCCACAGTAGAACTTACTCTTGCAAATGATTTCTGCATGTAAGTGTCCAAACCAACAAGTAATGGTTTAATATTTTTAAAAAACCATTTAATAAAAGTGAACCCACTGTACTCTGTTGTTCTATATTAGCCCAATGTCTGTCAGTGACTGGGCCAAGGAATAATGTTCTTATTCCACCTTTAGCTATTCAATAAAATGATACATGGACATCATTTTAACAACTGAGTGACAAGATACAGTTCCTGGTTAAAGGTGCTATTAGAAAGGTCTAGGGGTCATTATAATGGTTATTTACATTTAGCTTTGGTTTGCTTTCTACACGGAGATTTAATTTCCCAGGTGCATTTTGCCTTAACATAGGTAAATTGGTTTGCATTACCTTGGCACAGAACAACTACATTTGGTTGGGGATACCTTCCAAATTCATAGGTTTTTGACAAGGGTGACTAACTAGATGCGAATTAAGTTTACTGAATAAAATCCACAAAGAGCCTGGCACATGTAGATAATGACAAGTTGCCTATTAAAGAATGTAGTTGGGTCATATGATAACTCATTTCTGGCAATGTCTTGCTTTCAAAGACATGTGTTAGATACACAGCACTGGGGATGCATCTGTACTTTTTGTTACAGAATCCTGATGTCAAGATTTGGGGCTTCCTAGGTTGGTTGACTCCATGTGCACAGAAATAAGTGTGGGCTGGAATATTTAGATTACTTTTTATTTTTTTGGTACCGGGGATTGAACTTGGGTCCTTGCACTTGCGCAGCAGGCAGCAAAACCACTGAGCTAAATCCCTGGCCCTGGGCTGGAATATTTAAAATGTATAAATATAGCCTTTTGGATATAGTCAGAAATGATTTACTACTCAGTAATTTTGTCATTTGGCAATACTAAGACATGATAACATATGGTTTGCTCTGTGTAATTAACATAAATGCTGTCATTTGACTGAGCTGAAGAATTCTCTTGTCCCCTGATGGAAACTGTTTTAGGATATATGTATGTTTCTTTATCTTTTCACATGGAAGAAAGAATCCCGTTGCATCATTATGTATAACTCTCTGGGTTTTTTGGTTTTTTGGGTTGGAGGATGTGGCTGCTAAGGACAAAGCTGTGGTTTCATCAGAAAACCACTTGGTTCCTCAGCCATTGTCTGCATTCCTGAAGGACGCATTTTTCTAGTCTTAAAAGAGATCCTTGAAGAGTGAGCTATAGCTCCAACACAAGCACCTCTATTCCAAGGTTTGGAAAATAGTCTGAAATTTTTTTGTCAGTGGGAAATCAACAAACACATCGTTTTGGTCAAAGGAGAAAATAATGTAAATATTAATTTCCTCTATTTGCATTATATTCAGTAACTCTTGCGGGAGGGATACTGGGGATTGAATCCAGAGCCTTTGCAATGAGCTATATTCCTCCTAGCTATTTTTTTTTAAAAAATCTGAGACAAGTTCTGGCTGTCAGTAAATTGCTCAGACTGGGCTCAAAGTAGGGTCCTCCAGCCTGAGCATCCCAGAATGCTGGAATTAACAGAATTGTACCACCATGCCTGGTTTCTCTTTCCATTTTAATACTGAAAGGAATTTACTAAGAATCACGATTCAGAGCCAGGCAAGGTAGTGCACACCTCTAATTCCAGCACTCCGGGAGGCTGAGGCAAGAGAATTGTAAGTTCCAGTCAAGCCTGGGCAATTTAGTGGCTTAGTGAGACCTTATTTCAAAATTAAAAAAAATTAAAAAAAAAAAAAAAGGGCTGAGGATGTAGGTCAGTGTGAAAGCCCTGGCTTCAATTGACAGTACTGAAAAAAAAAATCATGATTCATTTTCGTTATAAGGATTTCTCCTCTTCCTTTTATTCTTCTCTCTCTGTCTCTTACCCTGCCTTTCAGAAATTTTCACTCTACCTCTGGGATGTCTTTCATTGCTATTATTATTTAGTTGTTTAATGAAGCTTCCAAAGATTTAATTTCTGGAGCCATTAAGTCAGCACCCTTTCAGATCTGTTTGGTTTGACTGTAATAGAGGCCATCTTTGTCCTTCAAAGAAAGTCTTTCAGAAAGAGTTAATTTGCAATTGTAACAGACGCTAATTCTCAGGAGAGAATTTAAACCAGCAAGCATCCTCCCGTGGAGAAACAGCCCTGGGCCAGTCCACTGGTGAGGAACTCCTAGCCCACTGCTTCCATCCACCAGGCAGGATTCTCAACCAGGCCTCGTCAGTGGCGGTTTTAAGATGGAAGTAAATGCTGCAGATTCTCCTTCCTAGGTCCTGGTTTGGGGCAGTTAGAAAATATGCTGTCCTGTGGTTTTTATGCTTCTTTGTATTTTCATTTCACACACACACACAGGTGAGAGGGGAAAAAAACCACTCAGGAATTAGTTCCTTTTTGACATGAGAATCTACTTTAATAGCATTTAGACAAACACAGTCTCTTTCTTTCCAGGGATGAATTGTGTCACCTCATCTGCCTTTTCCTTTATTCCTAAGTGATGAAGTTCATCTCATCTCCCACCCCTTCCCATGAAGCAGTTGCTTTTGGGGTAGTAACACAGCAATAGTAGCAAGTAAAGTGATGGCCTTGTATGCGTGAAAATGCATTTTGAAAAGAACAAGGAAGGTCCTTGGTTCCAACTTTAAATGCTATCAGTTCAACATCTAACTTTTACTGTCAAATGCTTTTCTTTCATCAGGTAAGGAGTCTAGATTTTCTAATATTGAGCACCTGCAGGGAATATTTCATTTTAAAAGGGGTGTAATGAACAAGGGTGGAAATAAAAGGGCCCAAAGAGGTGACAGCTATCAAAGTAAAGCCAAAGAAGATAAATAGCGCTTCTGCTCCCCGGACAACCTGCAGGTGAGCCCTCAGCCTCTGACCCTTAACCCCAGGGTTCCAGGTGAAAGTTCTTTCTTGACCTTTCTTTTGAGAGGGAACTACTTTAGCTTTTATTGATCAACCCCTTTCAGGCTCTCTGTAGAAGATTTTCTCTGCTTTGGTTTTTGTTATACTTGGATCCAACATGGAGAGTGAAGCAATTAATGCGTCAAAACCTTTCTTTAGGAGTTCACCATTAAAAAAGAAGAGGAGGAGGAGAAAGAAAAAAGAGAAGGAGAAAAAGGAGAAGTTTTGATCTGTAATCCTTGGACTAAACATTCCAGTCATTTATCCGCCAGAATTTCAAATGCAGCATTTGGTTGTGGTTGACTTTGCTTCTTTGAGACACAGCCTGAATGCCTCAACTCGATTTTTTGCTTTCAACACATGTTTTTAGTGATCTGAAGATTCGGGAAGGGCTGTACCATATGGTCTTGATAAGGTGATAGATTTTCACATTCTGGAATTGGCAGGAAAGGGTAGGAACTGAATTAGTTGTGGGAAGGGAAAATTAAGTTATTGGGCCTAACTCATCTCATGAAAAATCTTGAGCCCTGGCTTTCCCTAGTCAGTTTTAACAAAGGTTTTGTGTGCTTGTGAGTGTGTGCGCGTCCACGTGTCCTCACATGTAGGGAGAGGAAGTTTTTAATTGTCTCCAGTGGAAGGCTTCTTGAGATGACATTGAATGCTACTTCTCGGTGGTTAGTTTTGGAGAAGAGACCTCAGATGTAGGGGTCAAAGAACAAAAAAGGGCCCTACCTTCCTTGAAAAGCACATGTATGGAAAGGCACCAGCGGAGGGGCACTAAAAGATAACAGACGCATGCTTTTCATTCGGGAGTTGATGGTTTTGAAGAAGGTCTGAAGTCACCACTGGACAAAACAAAGCCAGGTGTATATGTACCCCGAGAGTAAAGGACCCTAAGGAAAGGAAATCTAAGAAAGGGGCAGTTTATGTGAGTGTTAGTAGGGGACAGAGGGAGCCGAAGCGAAGGCCGTCTGTTCCTCGCTCTTCCTGAGATAACAGATCGAGAAGCCTGTGCACGCTCGCCCGGTGGAGGCTGTGCCCCGGGAGTCGCCGGGGGGCTCTTCCTCGTCTCAGCTTCTCCCCGGTCCTGGGCTCGCGCGGGTGCTCCCGGGCATCCATTTCCCACTCCTGAGTCCCGGACCGCCGCCAGCCGGGCCCGGCCGCGGGGCGGGGCGGGGCTGCGCGATCCGGCGCGCAACGGGTTAAGTGGCGGGGGCGGCGGCGAGGGGCGGAGGGAGCGCGGCGGCGGCGGCCGGGGCTCCACGGCTCCGAGCGCAGCCCGCGCCGAGAAGGCTGAGCCCGCGCCGCCGCTCCGAGCTCGCACTCGGATCCGCTAGTGGAGGAAGATGGCGACGGACGGCGCGAGCTGCGAGCCCGACTTGTCCCGCGCCCCGGAGGACGCCGCTGGGGCCACGGCGGAGACAGCGGTAACCGAGGTCCCAGGGCAGGCGCGGGCGGAGTGGAGATGCGGGCTGGGGACGTCGCCGGAGACCCCGCTAGGGGCTCCTGGTCCCCGATGCTCCTTAATCCCAGACCCTCGGGGCGCCCCCTCCTCGGGCTGTCCTTTCCTAGGGGTGCCCCTTCCTCTCGGCATACCCCTTCCCCTCTGGGTGCCCCGACGGCCACCGGCGGGTTAGAGTGGGGAGAGGCGGCCACCCGGGATGGGAATCCTTGTGTCCCTGCGTCCTGTGCGACCCCTGCACCCGCCCCTCCACCCCTGGGGATTCCGGCTCAGGGCGCGCGCTGAGTACTCCCCGGCGAGTTTGACCCCCCCATTGTTCATCCCTCGCTGCGCGCGTGGCTGCGAGCGCCCGTCTCAGGGGTGCCCTGCACCTCTCCGCAGACGCGGGAGAACAGCGGGGGGCGGGGGGCGTCGCCAAGCAGGTGTGGGGATGCTCATTGTGTGTGTGTACGTGTGTACGTGTGTGCGCGCGCGCTCCTGTGCCTAGGGGAGGCCCTGAGCGCCAGCATTTTGAGACCTAGATGCCCGCTGCTCCCGCACTTGGTGGTGGGGTTGGGCTTCTCGAGACAGTGCCTGGCCGAAACGGAGGATCTGCACCTGGTTACTAGATGTTCACCTTCGCTGGGGTCCAGAAGCAGAATCCGCCTCCATCCCTAGCTGGCCCTGGCTTTGGCACCCTGAATATCCCCGAGCACAAATAGTAGTTGGTGGTTTTCAGCCCCTACCGACCCAGGGGGAGGGCTGGACCCACATTTTCTGGGTGGAAGACGTTCTTAGGGTTTTTGGGAAACAGCTTTGCAGGATATGTAGAGATCTGCAAAGAAAGGCGGATCTGGCAGCTCCCGCTGAGGATTCCGAGGGGGAAGGAGCGAGCCGGGCGCGGACGCCCCCTCGATTCCTCCCACCACCTGGGCTGAGTCTGGGTGAGAGCGACCGAGGCCGGGCGTGAACAGCCTGCGCTGCTTCACCCTCCTCCCACCTCTGGAGGTAGGGCTTGCAGGAGAGAGAGAGCCCTGGAGGAAACTATTTGGGGGTTAGAGGAGCATAGACTGGAGGGGAAAGAAGGAGACCGTGGGGGGGGGGGGATTGAAGGCTGCTGATCTCCACTTAGGAAACTGGCAGATTTTGAGCTAAAACTTTTGGAGAAATTGAGTTTTTCATTCTTTGCGTGGAAAATAAGAACTCCTAAAAGAGTTCTAGGGATACCTTTCCACTCGAGAATCAGTCTCTCTCTGAGGTACAATAAGGAAGATAGGCAGCTATTAAAACAACAAGCCTCTCTGGGAAGTTGAAAGGATCGGGCGCTTTCATCCCCAAGAGATGGCTAGGGAAAGGGAGGAGGAGGCAAAAGAAAGGTGTGTGCCTGTTTGTTTGCCAGGAGGGTTGAATTTGTTTAATTACTTAGAAGGAGCTTCTTTCTGCGTCTCAGTTTCAATCACCTGACGTTTAAACGCAAATATCTGATTTATTATGTGCAGCTGACATATGGATTTATTTGACTGTAAGCAGTGTCTTGGTTACCAGGGGGATTTTTGCACTAGCAAAGTCAGTGTTTCCTCCCCGCAGTTAAATTTTAGGATTCATATTTTCACTGCTGTTTGTTGGGGATTTGATAATTTTACCCTTGTTAATGAGAATGGCGTGGAAAATTTGTGAAAATGAACCTTCTTTGTTATTTTTATAGACTCCTTAGAGTTCCATGATGCAAACGGTTTGCAATCTAATAGGTTTCCTTTAAAAAATAACTTTGGACTTTTAAGTAAAAATTGGATGGTTTCTTATACAGTAAAACTAGCCTTTTAAATTTTTCCAATTCGTTTTGACTTGGAAAGGTATGGTCGCTTTATCAGTCTCTTGACTCATACACTGATTTTTAAATTGAAAAACTAGGTAAAGAAACGATACTTGTCACAATTGCTTTTTAACTGATAAAAATCAAAGGTATATTTTTAAGTTTTGGGTTCCTGTCAATAGAGGACTTATTTTAGTGGACAGGTTTTTATTTTTGTATTTTGGAGATTTAGTTCATTTCAAATTGATTTATATATTGTGCATTTTTGTATATACATTTGGCAGCAAGGAGCCAAAGGAGCCTCCAAGGCAGTAGGCTATTTTTGAACATGAATGTTTTCACTAAGTTTTGACTATTTAGATTGTTGCTTAGGAACAAGTTTAATTTATAGTTTTTAGTTTTGTATCATTTTCAGTAGAGTGTTTTAAATTTAGTTTGTGATTCTTGTTCTTAGCAGTTTAAATCCTGAAAGCATCCCAAGTGTAAAGCTGTCTAACAGCTACAGTATTCAATAGGATCATATTAATAGTGTTTGCTGTGAACTGTGCCAGGAGACCTGAGTTATTTTCAGTGCTTCAGCCCAGTGTGATGACTTTTATAGGCCATATTGATATTTCTAACCTGAAAATAACTCTTAATAAATAAGGCAGTATGGAAAACAGAAATGGAGTGAAAGGAAAAGGGAGATCATTTTTAGAGCTGTATTTGGGAAGCCAACCAATATTTTTGTCATTCTCGTCTTTCTGAAGCAGCCAATATGCAAAAAGTAGGTATAAATTTTGTTGTCATGGTGATGGTGACAAAGAATAACTTGGACGATATGTTGGCAAAAGCACAACAGGTCTGGGATTTAGCTCAGTGGTTCCACCGCCTGCCTGGCAAACGCAAGGACCCAAGTTCGATCCCCAGTACCAAAAAAATGCACAACAATGATGTTAAACAGATTAATGGAATGGCTAGCACTTTTCTTTTTTGATTTTTTTTTTAAAGAGACAGGATCTAGCTGTGTAGTTTAGGCTGTCTTTGAATTTTATATGTAGCCTGGGCTAATCTTGAATTCTCCATCCTCCTGCCTCAGCCTCCTGAGTCTGAGTGCTGGAATTACAGGTTTTTGCTATCATGCTACCCACATTTTTGTATTTTAGGTGACAGCACTGCATGTAAATATAATGAAAAGAACCTTATTAGCCAATTTCACCAAGATCTTTAAAAAAGTTATAGTTATGTGGCAGCTATAGAATGTTCAAAATTTCATAGACTAAATATTCAAATGATACAGACTTAGCACACATCACTATACACTTATTGAGATGGAGGCAGATGAGTAACATCTTTGCTGCCCTCAAGTAACATATCACAAGTGATAGAAATTGTCATATACCAGGGTATCGAATCAGAGACATGGTGTCATGATAGATGCCAGTAATTTGCATTAGAAGTATTGGAAAGAAGAATTAGAGAATTCTCAATAGAAGGACCTGGAAATGTTCCACAGAAGAATAGCATCTCAGTGGCTCTTGAAATATATGGAAGACTCTGACAAGACTCCAGGAAACAGTGTACACTATGGTTAGTTCCTTGGGTTATCTGAGAAAGGCACAAAATAGGGCTTTCATGGATGAATATAGAGGTTTCCATTTGAGCCTCAGCTATGTGATTTAGAAAAAAAGTAGCTTAGAATGTACAGAAATTGACTGAAATATTTCCCAAAGTTAAAATGTAACCATTTTCAGTGTGATGCTTTTCACTCTACTTTTCTTCCATTTCTGCTTGCACCTGTTTTGTTTTTTTGGGACTGTATTGTTGCTGTTGTTGCCATTATTATTTATCATGGGAGCAATTTTGGGTAGAGAAAAACATTTGTCCTGTTGAATGCATACCTAGGCCAGATTGACAAGTTGGTTCTAGCCTCATGTGTTTCACATAAATTTATGAGTTGAGAAAATGCTTCACAGCCTTAGTACTTAGCAATTTACAGATATTTGCTTTTGATCATGTGGACAGCAAAATTGTGACCATGGAAAAATAGACTCTTCACTCAATGAGAGTTGTGTCAGTTTATTTGTAAAAGAAAGCACAAGTCACTTAGCACAGTGTCTGCACGTGTTCTATAAATGTTCGTGCAGTGATGAAATGTAAAAAAAGCCCATCAAAAGCTGTCATAGCTAATGTTGATTGGCTAATTAGAAAATTTTCTTTGTGTGTTGCCAAATTACAATAAAACCATTGGACTGTGGTTTATAATATCTAACATTATAGATATTGCAAATCTCAAGTCAAAATATAACCTGATTTTTATCTTTTCTTGTTTTAATTTTTACATTACCCCCTCTCCAAACTGTTTTTCTCAGTAACATCTCAAATGCTTTCCAGATTTAAAAAGTTTTTCAATACTATTAGTTTTCTCTTTAGATTCCTTGTCTTCCAGGTTAGATGGGCATATGGTGGTGTTAAGATGGTGATCCTGAATTCTTTCAATAACAGAATCAAAGCTGTATCACCCATTGTGACATGGAAGAGGGAATGATTGACAGGTGGACAAGAGAGAAATGGAGGAAAGTTTAGATACAAGAAAAGGGAATGAAAGGAAAGATTGGGCAGGAAAGAGATTTGGCAGGATCTTCAAATAGTCTGTAACTGCACAGAATGTGGAGCTAGAATTCAGCTTTAAATGTTGAATTTAAGAAACATGGTGCCATGTCTTTGCCCACTTCCCATGCCACCGACAGCCACCTGAATATTGCTTTAGAGAGAGACTTTACTTGAATATACTGTACTTGATTGGATTCATTTCTGTTGGAACACTGTTGCAAAGCTCAAATAGTGTAGAAAAGGAAACTTGTCTTTTTCCTCTTTGGTGGTCAGGGAAAGAAGTGGAGAACAGAGAGTAATGACAATGGCATAGATATGTAAAGAATTTTCAAATTTTTATTTTAATCCTTTATAAATAACTTGTACAAACATGAGCTCATATTAATAATGCACAGCATGGTCTCATCAAGGTAGAAATCCTGATTTTAGGGGGGAAAATTGCACTTCTTGAATACATTTTTAGTAAATAATAGGTTGAGGAGCTATTTGAAAGATTTTTGTAGAAATGCAGAATAGCCAAGTGAACATTGCTTTGTAAAGTGGATACTTGTTTATAAATGATTTAGTTTTGTAATTTTTAT